AGAAAAAAAAAAAAAAAAAAGAACGACGAACGACAGAGTTAGAGAATGACCATCGATGAATTAAAACGAAAAGGGCTTCTCCGTTGCATCGAGGAGACGCGACGAGGAACTCGACGGGAAACGCGGGTGTTACAACGAAGAAAGCGACGACGAAATTGTCAAGGACAGCCTCGGACACGAGGCGAGCACAGGAAGCGGAAGTGCCCCTTCGAGCGCAGACTAGGATGGTGCAGCAAGCGCGTGCGTTCGTCGCGGCACGGGCCAACAACAACGCGAAGAAAGATCAACGGCAGCAACAACGGCGACAAACCAATGCGGTTAACAACGCGATCAAACCGTCGTCAGACATCATGCAGAAGAGTGGCATAAATGAGAAGGAGGTAGATATTGTTTATAATGGACGGCAATTAAATAGAAGTAGTAAATCCTTTGGAGAGCGGACGGAGAGAATGAGAGTGAGAGAGAGAGATGGTCGAGGGAAATTTCCCAATGACAAGCATTATTTCATCTTTTCTCTTTTCAAACCTTTTTCTTTTCTTTTCTTTTTCGATTTCTTTCCGTTTTAATTTTCGTTTACCGTTTTGTCTCTTCTTCGAACAACGACGTTAAATCGCAGCGAAACCCATACAGATCGAACCATCGAGTCGATAGGATAAGTGGAATGCCGATGAGCGATGTCGAGACCGATGGTCGGTCGCGTCGTCGTATCCACGTTCGGCGAACGTAGTTACAAACCCCGGCTGACCAGTCGAGTATAACGAGAGCGCAGCAGCGTAAACGCATTTACATACACGCCCGGATCACCTACCTACTTAGACTCGCAGTCTGCTCCTCGTCCGTTTCAGCTAGAACGACGCGGATGGCTTGCGCGTCTACTCGCTCGTACGAGGGTGTATCGTCTAACGATCGTGAAACCCATCAAAGTCGATTTCCCACTTTTGCGTCACACGCTTTACCCCGCATACCGTTTCTTATCTTCTTTCTTCCTCGTCCCCTCTCCCCTCTTTTTTCCTCCCGACTCAGCAGATTGGAAGCGACCCGGTCCAAAATATCGAATCTCTTCACGCGTTAAGCCAGCGCTTGGCTCGCCAGTCCCTTTAAATCGTATCTCGTGGCAAACCGAGCAATACACCGAATTCCTGTTAAGTAACTCGCTCGACACGACTCGATCGTTTTCCTCTTTTTTTCCTCTTCTTTCTCTTCGCCTTTTTCTTCTTGTTCTTGTTCTTCTTGTTCTTTTTCTCCCATCGAATTAACAACGCGACGAATTCGGAAACGACGATGGTCGTCGATCGAACGCGTGATCAGCTGACGACGCGAAAACTCGGTTTCGATCGCGCGCCCCAAAGGACGGAGGTGATTCGCGAAAGTTGGTAAGAGGGGTTGTTGGTAGTCGGTACTTATTCCCGAGGTTGACGCTTGCGCAGACGTGATCATCGTCGTGCTCGTCGTCGTTGTCGCCGTTGTCGCCGTTGTCGCGGCCGTCGTCGTCGTCGTCGTCGTGGTCGTCATCGTCGTGGTCGTCATCGTCGTGATCGCCATGAACTTGTTCGCCATGCTCGCGATACCGCCGGTGGTCGTGCTTGTGTTCGTGCTCGTGATTGCGGTGGTCGCATGGAGACAATCGTAGGGGAAAGCGGACAAGGAAGGAGAGCTGGGAAAGCTCGGCTATCAAGGGTGGTTCGCTTGTAGAGTAGCAGTAGGGGGTGGCGGCATTACGCGTATTGATTCTCCTTTCGCATCCCTCGGCTGTGCACTTCTTTGGCCGGCAAGCGAGTTCGCTCTAACCGACGAATACGAGGGAGAAGTGAAATACGAGCGTAGTCGTCGGACGGTGACGCGACGACGAGCAAAATCTCCTTGGACGTCACGCGTCCTGTTTCGTACGTGGTATCGCGTGGCGACACCTTGGAGTCGGATCTGTCACCGACCGGAGGACGAGGATGCGTTCCGCTCGGTCCTCGCGCGACCTAACCCAGAGACGAAGGCCGCCAATTGTGATTAGTGACGTCAGACGCGTACGCGCTCGCGCTCGCGTTCGCGTTCGTGGCACGCCTCCGGGACTTTGTGTTCGGGCGTCGATCGTTGCTTTTTTCGTTTCCGTTCGAGCGCCGTTTCGATTCGTCTAACGAGTTTCAGGTCGACCGACACCGGGCAATCTACGTTTCTCGCCATCGATGTACGCTCCTCGCCCCTTTTTCGTTCTTCGCCGTCACCAATGGAGGAACTACTCGTCGGTGAATTCATCGAGGCGACAGTGCGAACAGCCGAGTGTGCACTTTCGCTGTTGTCGAGCGACCAATCTTGCGACGCAAACAGTGTCTGAGTGATACGTGCTGATTCGTAAACGACTGTTTCTAATATTCGTCGAGATTCGTGCACGCTTTCGGACTGGTTTTTGTGAAAGGAAACAGGAAGCTACTCGGCAATCGTTCGCGAAGATTGTTCGAACGAGACGATGTTTCGTTTCGTTTCGCTTTGGACACGCGCACGCAGTTGTATGGCTGCCGATCGCAACCGTACGAATCCCTTCCCCTCCTGTCTTTGCCACTTTCGTTGAAAGTCAACGCGAGCCGTCGTTGCCTCGGTAAAAGCCTCTCTTCTGTCCGATAACTCGAGTATCTTTTTACTACCGTTTACGAAATAGTTGGACCGGAAAAGCGCGAAAGAAAACGGATCGTGTGTGTCATTATGCGATTCTCAGGGAAGGATCCCTCGCAGAAAAGACAGAAAACAGTTTGTTCCGCTTTGACGCATCTTCCCACCTCTGCGATGTCGTATACGCGCTTTATCTGGCTGATTTATGAATAAGGTGATACGGACTTGGTGCACGTCGGCTGTAAACGAAAATGGCCAGGGAAGAGTACGACGGAGAAGCGAATGTTACTCGCTCGAGCGTTCCGATCGTTGATGCCCTTTTCTTGCTAACCTCCGAAGCGGCCGAAAGCTTGTTTCGATCGAGTCGGTCGCCATAAAGGAGAAGGTGCTGCGAGCAACATCTTCTCGATTGCCGGTCGATTTTCTTTGTTTCTTTGCAACACGCCGAAGAAAAACCGATCAAACTGGCGGCCTCGAAAGTTGCTGCAGCCTCCTCTTGCAAGATGGTCACTCGTGGCCATACGCGGGTAATTGACCTTGTATAAATTATTATCTCTGCATCTTCCGAGCTATCTTCACGTTTCTTTTGCAATGCAACTTCATCGACAAATTTCTGCACAGCCTGTACGCTCGAACGCTACGATATTAGAAACGCAATTCGCATGAAGTTTCTTTAACGAGGTTCGATTAAATCCCATCGACGAGTTTCCGTCCCTGGAAATGTGAAACGTGATCGCGTGGTCGCGTGGTCGCGACACGCGAATTGCGTGCGTAAAGCTCGACGCGCTCTAGTAACAAGTCGAGCAAACTCGAGCGAATTTGAGCAAAATTCGAACTTCGCCAGCAAAGACTGATATATATATATATATCATATATGAGAATAGAGAAATCTCGCGTAAACGACCGAAACGTTGAGTCGGTCGGTAGAATTCAGTTTTGTCGCAGCAGCTGCAACGCCATGCGAGAATCACCACCGTCCCTCGTATTCGGTTTTAATCTAACGTGATCTACCGCGTTTATTTCAGACAGGGGATGGCGTGGGAGTGTCGAGTAGCGGTGGTCGACTCTCGTCTCGAAGTCGGACCTCGGAGGAGCCCCACATCGGCAAGTACAAATTACTCAAAACAATCGGCAAAGGTAACTTTGCCAAGGTAAAGCTTGCCAAGCACGTGCCTACCGGGAAAGAAGTGGCTATCAAAATCATCGACAAGACTCAATTAAATCCCGGTAGTCTTCAAAAGGTAAGGAATGCGTTGTCGTTGAATCGTCGTCAGAACGAAGCTATTAACGAGAAGACGTGATCGGTGTTTGTTGCGTGTTACAGCTGTTCCGCGAAGTCAGAATAATGAAGATGCTCGACCATCCGAACATAGTGAAGCTTTTCCAAGTAATCGAGACCGAGAAAACATTGTACCTGGTAATGGAGTACGCTAGTGGTGGTGAAGTTTTCGACTACTTGGTTTTGCACGGTCGAATGAAGGAGAAGGAGGCTAGAGCAAAGTTCCGGCAGATCGTCTCTGCCGTGCAATACTGCCATCAAAAGAAGATCATTCACAGGGACTTGAAGGCGGAAAACTTGCTACTCGACAGCGAGATGAACATCAAAATCGCAGATTTCGGTTTCAGCAATGAATTCACTCCGGGCAATAAGTTGGATACCTTCTGCGGTTCACCTCCTTACGCAGCACCCGAACTTTTCCAGGGTATACTTTGTCTCTCCTTTCCTCTTCTTTTCTTTCTCTTTTTGTTTTTCCTTCGAGAGAAAGCAGCCATTTCATCGATCTATTTGTTTGCCATTTAGGTAAAAAGTACGACGGGCCCGAAGTGGACGTTTGGTCGTTGGGAGTGATATTGTACACATTAGTGTCTGGATCACTGCCCTTCGACGGTTCGACGCTGAGAGAACTGAGGGAACGAGTACTACGAGGAAAATATCGAATACCGTTTTACATGTCCACGGATTGCGAGAACCTGTTGAAAAAGTTTTTGGTGCTCAACCCGACGAAACGGGCCTCCCTAGAGGTAAGCGGCCGGACATGATAATCACGGCGAACGTAACGCGATCAACGGCCGCGTACAGTGTCTGCTTCTAGAACGTTCCTATTTTTCTCTGCTTGTAGACTATTATGAAAGACAAATGGATGAACATGGGATACGACGACGATGAATTAAAACCGTACTTAGAACCTGAACCTGATTATAAAGACCACAAGAGGATAGGTGAGTCTGCCAGTATGTACATAACACTTACTATTTATTGTTTCTACATAAAATAATAAAACTGCATGATTTACGACCACCCAGTTGTCACGTCGACTAACGTCGCGTCGCATCGTGTAACGCTGCTCGGCATCGAACGTGCTATACAGTTCCGTGAACGGTATACGACTCTTTAATCAAGCAACGGTTGGTCGTAATTAAACGATTCTTGAACTCTTCGCATCGATAGGACCGTCAGACGATCTTACTACGTACGAGAGCTGGCTGTGTTTTTAATGTGTGCGCCAAACTATGCGCAATAGCGATAGTAATAGTAATAGTACTAGAAACCGTGTTAGTGACAGTAGTACTAGTAGTGGTAGTAGTAATAGCCATAGCATTATTGGTAGTAAGAGGCGTCTGTGAATGCATATTTTTCGCACAGCATAGCACCGGGCTTCTTTTGAAAATGTTTCTTTTGTATCGATAAGTGTATAAAATCGCGAAAGTGTATAAAGCCGTAGTAATGTAATGTTTCTCTTGTGTCGAATCGATCGTATTATTCTGATATCTTTAGTGGTTGTGACTATGCCGTTACACCTGTTTGTTTTAGAGGCCCTGGCTAGTATGGGGTACACGAGAAGCGAAATAGAAGATTCCTTAGGACAGGCAAAGTACGATGACGTATTCGCCACGTACTTACTCTTAGGAAGAAAGACAACCGATGTGAGTACGGAAGGAGACTCGATTTATCGAAAGTACGCGTAAGTTTAACGCGATCGATGAAGAAGTAGAAATGAAAATGGTTCGTTTCGTAGCCTGAATCCGACGGCTCGCGGTCAGGCAGTTCATTGTCGCTGCGCAACATTCCACCGCAAGCTGGTTCGGGAGGCGGCGGCGGCGGCGGAGGAGGTGGCGGAAGCGGCGGAGGCACAGGTGGCGCTGTGCAGAGTCCGTCGCATAGAGGTGTTCATAGAAGTATTTCCGCTAGCAACCCAAAACCAAGTAGACGAGTCTCGTCCGGTCTTGAAACGCTTCGTAAGTAACTACCGTCAAACCTCTTGTTCCAGCCATATTCCAGATCAACGACTACCACTGTAAACTTATTTAATAACCTCTGCGTCAATCCGGATTGGACGTATCGCTTAGTAACGTATGCCACGCTATGCTGACGAACGTTAAAGACGAAGTAAATCTATCAGCTGATTAGGAGATTATCACGAAGCCTATGTAGGTAGTAGTGGCGATTCGATCATCGAACGTGTCTATGTTTCAGCGAGAGTTTCTCTTGATTTTCAGTGTTTCCCCGTGCTAAAGGATTAGCAATTACTACGAGGATATTCGTAGGAAAACTCTTAGTAACGACCAAAGCCCACGTTGTTACGCGCGCGACTGATCCTATTCTTGTTTCGTATACGACGTTTATATTTTGCTAGGAGCAGCACCAAGTCCAGGAAACGCAACGAACCATAATCACGCGACTGCTACGACTGGTGGAACAGTGACTGGTGGCAGCGGTAGTAATTTTAAGAGACAAAATACCGTGGACGCGGCCACCATCAAGGAGAATACCGCTCGTGTTTCTGCGAGTCGACCTTCGGCTCCTAAAAACAGTCCTGGCCAATTAGATACTAGTGAGTTATTTTCGTTATCCTGTGACTTGTACCACCGTAATTCGATCGGTATCTGTTCAATTGTTTTTTGCGGCTCTGTAATTGTGTAAAGCTTCCACGAACGTGTTCTGCTTTGGATAAGATTGCCCGTGATTCGTACCCTAATCCACCAATGTTTTGATTAATTCGTTATTTATATATTGTTCGTTTCTCTTTTACCCTTTGTCTTGTTTTTACCCCTAATTCGTAAACGTTACCGCAACGACGTATCGATGCTGTGCGCTAATTCTAGATCGTTGTAGTCCTTTACTCTCCGAGAGTAGCGAAATCACCGTGTATCGAAAGTAGTTACATTTTTTTTTTCAACCAATACATCGATCGTAACGACGTCTACGTATTCGCTTATACCGATGACAGTTACAAAGTTACGATTGTACGTGTACGTGTAATTTTAGCGTCGCATCTGCCTCTCTTTGATCCTTGCACTGAGAATTTATCACGTACGTTTCCTACCATTTATCGTTTCAACGAACGTTTCAAGAAAAACAGAATTCCACGATTCTCTTTACGGATGGAAGCGGATGAGACGCTGTACAGTGTTTTGCACGGTGCAACACGTGCGCGCCCCTCCCCAATTTTATTTGTACTCGTTGCCATGCTTGTTATAATTTAGTAAAGTACGCTGCTTTGTTTTGTGTTGAACTATATCTAATGAGGCTTGCAGTGACAATGTTCATTCTAGGCGTGGGTACAAGTCCCGGTGGTAGGGCATGGGCAGGCAAGAGCAATACGATGAACGCAGGGGTAGGTGGTGGTCGGCCTCTTACCTCACCTGCCCCTGGTTCTGTTGGTCGACGTAGTACCATCTCCTATGATCAAGCTAAAACGTCCTCCTCGTCTACCGAAAGAACCAACGACGCACCCAGGTACAGTGATATCCAATTGTTTTTCAGATCGTATTATTAAAAGGAATTCTTTTCTTTTCTCTCGCGATAAATCAAAGGGCGAGAAAGATCGTAGTGTAGCCTCGATGAAACGTAGACGCTGGATCCGCGCGATCGTACGCAATACACGTTCTTCCCGCGTTCAATCGCGGTACTTGTAAAAGTAGCAGCTCGATCGTTTTTCGAACGCGAGTATTCGAAAGAATCGCGAGCACGATCCAGTGTGTACGTCGATCGAACGATTAAAATTAATTTCGTTAACGCGCGCACAAACATGCGCGGCCCGTGTAATCGTATATACGTTACAGTGTTCCGTTATTGACTAAACAACAATGTTTTCGTTGTACCGACTACTAACCACGTAATAGGTGATTAACTCTTTAACTTTAACGAACAAACGTAGAAAAACCGGCCGATCGATAACAAAAAATCTGTCATGATAAGCCCCAGGGAGTTTCTTTGTTTGTTGCGTTGCTCTAGCATGTTGGCTGCTGCCTGCCAATCGTTCGTTCGCAGATCACTTTCTTTATGGCTTGACAGATCTACCGAAACAGATAGTCTAATTAAACGTGTATACATATACAAGTGCTTGCTAAAATTATACCGAATCACAGTTACATTCACATATCTCTTTACTCTGTTTTTTACCAGCGTATGTCTAGATTTATCAGCGTGTGTGTATAAAAACAGTCATTAACATCATCATACATACGTCACTGTTTATGTTTTAGCGTCACATTCCGTTCCCCTTATCGTAGAAGTTCTCGCGTGCTAATATCATTGGCAATGCCAGATAGAATTTTCATTTGTCATCCGCTCACCTTAACCTACCCTGTGTATCCCCCTACTACCCATCCAACCTCCGCGTAGCACACCCTGTTCCTCTAGTTTTCAGTGAATCCGATCGCGTCCTACGAAACATACCTACGTATCTATGTAGTACGATCAACGTAGATGAATGAACACGCGAACCAACACCCACCATCGGTTCGTTCCGTTCCTCTTCTTTCCCTTTCTTTTGTTCCTATCCTTTCGAACAGTTTCTAAAAACAGAGAAAAAAAAAGAAAAAAGGAAAAGAGTTACGGGATGTCGTTTGACGTTGAAGCGATAAGGAAACATTCGCGTATCGGAATGACGTAACCTTCCGTTATGAAATTCCGATACGTGTCACCAAGAAATTCGACTACGAACGTGTAAAGAAATTCAGCGAGAATCTTAGAAACGTTTAAAGCAAAAAAAAAAAAAGAAAACGGAAAAGAAAGAAAAAAAGAAAAAGAGAAAACGAAAGAAGAAGGGGAAGAAAAGAGAGAAGCTAAAGTAAAGAGAAACGCGAGAAAGTAAACGTAACGTCGTCGCGAATAGCTATAGAAATCGTAGAAAAGTAGGGCCGGGCAGAGTGCTGATTAGTTTTGTACACAGCCTTGGCGAGGGCACTAGACCAACGCGGGGTCACACCAAGTCTGCGAGCATCAGCGCAGGTCACCGTTCCTCGAGTGGCGTACCCCCCAGCGACCATTCACTACTGGACCCTCAACCACGCAACGCCCACAACTCCTTACTCGCCACTGCTGACCCTCTTAGACAGAGGTACAGATCCTCAAAGCCTTATCAGCCAACCTGTATACAGTCCTCTATTAGATATGCGACAAAAGTCTAACGTACCGCTCTACCGGTCACACCGATTACATCTACCACGAATTCTATCACGAATCTTTGTACATCTTAAATGCAAAGGGGTCGCTTAAAGTTTAAGTCTACGATTTCAAATTCCACTCAAGAGATTCGATCCGGATCGGTCATCGAAGGCCATCGAACCTCTTTCATATGGAAAAACTCGTTCATCGCCGACCCTAAACGATTTCAACGAGGCACGGCAGAATTTTACGTTAGACTATTGGAGCACACAGTAACTGCAAAAGATATTCGAGTACATTCTTTTCATTCGTTCATATTTTACATATTTATTTCCTTCTTGGGCCACTAACTCTCTTAGGGCAACTAGAACTTGTGTGTGGCGCGTTCGTGCTTCGAAAGAAACGTAGAAATTGCACAACGTCTTGTTCGCGATGCAAATCGGCCCTCGTAGGTTCGTCCTAGGACAGTTTCTGGTCATTTATTCGTAATCACCTTTGTTTTATCTAATTTCTGTTTCTAATTTGCATGAGTATCGTCGTTGTTAGTTATCTACTAGCGATCATCGGCTTTGGTCACCGGTTTCTCATTTATCCAAACTACCTTGTTTCTCGCACATAATTCTGCGCCTACGACTACAATCACCGTGTTCACACACGAACAGCTAAACGCCATTCTGCATTTTTGCTCCAAGTTGTCTTTCGTTTTAAAATTAGCGGGTAACCATACGTTATAACACGAAACGGTTTAACGTAAGCACCGCGGCAATGCGACAATTTGCGTGTGCCTCGAGATAGCAACGCGTGTGACAGCATACGCCTCGGCGTAATGAAAAGAATATCGCAACGTAACGTCGGAATCGTCGAGTATCCAGATACGGCGATCGCGACGTCGTCGTCCTATCGAATTGACTATCGCTTTGAACGAAATTTTCCGTGCTACGTGCACGCGCGCGTACGTATCGATAACTCGGATCTTGCAAACGTGTCCAATTCTTTCTCCTCTAACCGATACGAATTTAATCGGTGTTTCGTCAATTCGATGGAGCAAATTACCTCGAAACAATCGTACGTACTATCGACGCATACGCAAATAGAACGCAAAACTGTATCGTTAGATTTCATACCCGCCAATCATCTAACTTTCACTAGATAAACCAAACTAATTCGTTTCAAATTCCGCTTTCTTAGCTGAGACTGTCGAAGCTTGTTTTGCAAGACATACAAAGATCGCTTGTGCATTATCTACTTTTACAACTGCCCCCTTGAACCTCACGGAAGAATTCGCGTGAAAAGTGAACATTTTACTTTACATCCTATGTTTCTCTTATTTTGCATCCTTGTCTTTTGCTTGTTTTTTTGTTTGTAACCATAAGATGTACGAAACGGAAACGAGGAATCTTTCGTATCGTTTAAATGCACAAATCTCTAGCAAAAGAACCGACACGGGCAAAGCAAACATTATCGATATGTATATACATAAGTACACATGTATATACGTATTATGCACCGATAGACACGCGCGTTACCCATCAATTACGAGAATAATAATAGAAACATGATCTTTTTTCAACTAGTTTGGGTGTATCTCCAAGCAATAGACTGGCAACGCCTACAACACCGGCATTTCCGAGAAATGTTCCAAGCCGTAGCACGTTCCATTCTGGCCAGAATAGAGCTCAGCGAAATCATACTCAGGTTCGTAAGTTTCGATACATTTTTTTTTTTTTTTTTTTTTTTAATGGTATCGATCAGAAAATTTTAACGATCTATAGATCGAAGATGATCGAGATTTCCGATATAGACGTTGTAAGCTAACAACTAAACCGTTAAGTTTATTTATCGCGTAACTTTCCATTACCATGTATAGTTGTGTTCTATGAACTTTCTAGGGTCATACGCATACACAGGACACAAATGCAATTAGTCCATTAGCGAGACCGTCCTTCTTCTCCAAGTTATCCTCGAGGTTCTCCAAACGGTAAGTTTTGCCGATTCGTTATACGTACATACATTGAAAAAAAAAAAAAAAACAGAAAAAAAACGTTTTCTCGTATTCGACAGCATGCTAGTACATGTACCACTGTAAAGTACCACCGTTCGTCCACAAATATATCTTTAGCTTACGATCGAAGTTCGGCCAAGTGTCTAATCGTAAAATTTCGATGGACGACAATCGATCAACCTTGTACGATAAACGATGAAATTCTTTTCGGAAATGCAAATTTTTCACCGATCCGCGTACCGAACGAATCGCGCTCGACCACGCTCCGATTTGAAAAACGTTCTTTCTTCGTGAAATGGAAGGAGAACAAGTAAACGTAAAGTTGTAGTAGAAGTAACGTAAAAGTAAAAGAAAGAAAAGAAGAAGAAGAAACGGCAGCGGAAGAAGAGAAGGAGAAAGAGAAAAAAGATAGTCCATGAACGAAAAGAAAGAGACAAAACGAGAAAGTGGTGTACGTACGATACGTTCGATTCTGATTCGCGTGCCAGGCGTGTACTTCATTCGATCTTGTGATACGGTTGTCCGATTATAAAATCATCGCTAATGTCTATATATCGGAAAGATAAAGTTGGAAACACAAAAGCTTTTACAGTGGGCCTTTCGATGCATGCGTAGCAATTAATCCCGTGAAACGAACGATTTTTCGACTGTATTTATACTTATGCTACAATAGTTTAAACGAGTCGAACCTATCGTTTTGCATGTGATATGATATTTCTGTTTTAAGGATGCACAATGACTATGTAATTCTAAAAATTTCTTATCGATACGTCAGATATTTCCGTATCGTATTTAACGTAACATTTCTATACAAGTATACGTAATATACTGCAAAAACGATATACAGTACGATCAATTAGTAACCCGATGAGCGAGCAGCGACCATTATCAGTGAAAGCGACGAAAAACGTAGCTTGTTCACGATACATCTCGTAGTTGTATTTGTTTCTACGCCGTTTTCGCCGTTTCTTTATCCCATAAGCATCTGCTTCTCAGGTTTCTATAGCACCCTTTTAGTTCGACTCTACTATCTTCGTTAACCGATTGTTACACACACACACACAAGCAAACAAACGAACAAACAAACAAACACACACGCGTACAAAGACTGAAACGTACATACATACGCAATACATATACGCACACACCTTGACAATGACCGTTCTAATTCTCATCTATCTTTATCTATCTACCTGTTTCCCTTCGATTCCTGTCTCGTTTTCCTATATAAGAACATAATTCGTTAACCGAGAAGAAAAGCATCAAGAACGATTATAGGAAAAACGTATTCGTCGTCCGTTCTGTGTCCTTCATAGCGAACGTACCGTTATCGTGTCTGCTTAATGTTCGAACGTTCCTATTTACGAAAGAAAATCCTGAGAATTCATCGACGATAGTAATACCGCTTGGCCAGCTCGAGTTCAGGCCACCTCGCATACTCATTGTGCATCCCTTTTTGACTCGACTGTAGCGAGGCATATCCTTGACTTAGTACTTTACCTATACTTTATATATGGAACCTTGATTTTGTCGCATACAACAATCATTACAATAATCGGAAAAAGTGAAAATGCGTGTTGTTATATTGGTACGCGTAGAATAGAGGTAGAGTAGAGGGATAAAGCGTAGGCGATAAAACGGTTCGAAGCGAGGACCCAAGGCCACAGAATAACGAGAGCAATGCAGCTTGTTCGTCTCACCGTCAGCATCTTTTCTACTTTCACGATATGGTCACTGTACGCATCGTCGATACGTACTATAGACACAACTGTTCGATCAAACCGAAAATTCTGTCCGATTTGCCGACACAGCATAATAGCCATTGGTGCATCGCTCAAATTCTTCACACTTGGATTAATGTTTACCGGTGTATTGTATGCTACAGGACATGAACCGATTAAATCTTGACATCGCTCGAGCTTCGTCAAACGATGGCCGTAGAGACGCGCAAAACTTAACGACCGATGCGCGCGACAGAAATTCGCGCGAACGCAGCAAGACCAGCGAGCCGAGCGCGTCGCGTTCTATCGGCCTGAAACAATGGTAACAGCATCCGTGTTACCGGCTCAACGATCCACGGATGTCGGAATGCGTTTGACCAACGAACGAGACAGTACGAAACGAAAAGAAAAGAAAAAAGGAAACGGAAGAGGAAAGAAGAGAAGAGGAGAAAAGGGAAGAGAAGAGAAGAGAAGAGAAGAGAAGAGCAAAGAAAAGAAATAACGTGTTCCGTCTCTCGCTCCGTTATTCTGTGGTGTATCGTCAAGCTTTTCAGAGTCGACAGATCGTTGTCGTTGATTATAAAAGAAAAGTTCTTACGATATTGTTACCGTTAGGCGCACGGAGTGCGACATTCTCGCGTTCATCCTATAACGATCCTTCGGAACGCGAAGTGTCTTCCTGACGCGCGACGATCCAACAATCCGTTGCTGTCGCTGTTTTGTCGTCACCATCGTCACTACCGTCGTCGTCATCGTTACCGTCACTGTCGCAGCCGTCGTCGCCGCAACTGCCAGCCCGCAGCCTTATCCCCTTAGACTTAGCATTGAAAATCGTGCCTTTCCTGATTCAGCCTGCCAGCTATAGTGAACGTGCACTTTCATGCCGCTCATCTTTTAAAGACGTACCTATCTATACATAATCTCTTTCTATTTTTATACGTATATTCATCGCGTCGTACGTCAGCTTCGTTTTACCTTCTTCGTCCTAAAATAACCGTAACGAACGTCGGCCACTCATCGTCGATAATTCATCGATCTTTCGTCGATCTTTCGTCGATCTTTCGTCGATCTTTCGTCGATCTGGTTCATGCGAATCGATCATTCCTGATCTTGTTGAATAACCCGATCCTTTGAACGCTTTTCAACGGTTTACTTGATCGAACAGACTAATCCACTTTTGTACGTAACGCGTAGCGCTCGCGAGTAGTCGCGGTACGATGTGCTCGTTCGTCCGCCTGTCCAGTTCTCCTGTCTTTAGTCTCGTGGCAAACTGACAAAGGAGCGACGAAAGGAAGAAGAAGAAAGCAAGAGAAAGAGAGAGACAGAGAGAGAAAGAGAGAGAGAGAGAGAGAGAGAGAGAAGATGGAATGGAAAAAGGAAGGAAAGAGAGTTACATTGGAAAAATAGGAGAAGGAAAAAGAATTGTCAGACCTAAAGGGGAAATAGGGTAAAGACGAGATGAAGTATTTCGCGCGTACCGTGATCTTAAGTCGCGCGTGGCACGTGGCACACCGTTACTCGCTATCGTTGCCAATTTCCGTTTCCATTTTCGTTTCACTTCTTGTTTTCGTTTCCGATATTATTACTTTTAGCGTTATCGTTACAGTTACCGTTACCGTTACCATCATTATCGCTGTTACCGTGTTTACGATAAAAAAAAAAAAGAAAAAAAAGAAAAGAAAAAAGAAGAAAAATACGCGTGAAACGATGTCGCTGCAAGCGTGACTTTTTACGCGTGGACAGTGCCAAAGTCGCACGGACAAAATATATAATCTTGACGATTCGAATCACTCGGTAAAATCCATCGTTGTCGTATTAACAATCGCGAAGAAGAAAACATGCAGGTGGTACCGCTTAATAATGTCAGCGTGTTTTTGCCTCGTCAGCCTCGCGACCTTTCCCGAAAAGTAATTGTCGTTTGTCTACTTTAGGTCCGATCAGTTGACCAGAACGTTTGTTTTACCGACGAATTCGACGTTGTCGATGAAGCGACAACGTTCGTCAATCGTCGTCCATCGCGTGAACGTTCTATAGCTTTGTTTTTGTTACCGAAAACGTACGAATACCTATCCTTTAGTCCTCGTAAAAGTGGTATAATTGTACTAACAAACGTCACACGGTTCATTTCACAACAATAATGGAGTACATGAGAATTCTTCGTACGTTGACAGGTTTTCTAAGTGAAGGCTGAAGTCTCGCCTTGTTTCCCTCGAGCCGAAATGAGAGCGAGCCGCACGCTGAATATCAAGCAACGGCAATATACAGACATTTTACCGGCACAGTAATTAAAGTCCGATCGACCGGCCGACTATAACTTCTAACATTAGCGTATTCCTATTATTTTCTTTTCTTTCTGTCTTCATTTGTCTGATGATAATTTTTACTTAGATTTTGTATCAAAGACATATATCGAGAAATGGTTAAAACTTCGTAGCGATGATACATCGTAAATTCGAGGAAATATGTTGGATATCGATAATTTTTTAAACTCGCTCGTCGATCGTTTCGCGAGCAAAATTCTCCGGAGTAGAACCACGTAATTTTATTCGTCACTTCGTTACGCCAACACGCTTCAACCATCGCTTTATTCAATCTCTTGTTATTAATCGCTCCCTTTCAAATCCGAGAGAATGGGAGAACAGCTAACACGCGTTATCGCAATAATAACCGAGCGTTACGAGTTCTATCGACTCTTCGTTCTTTGTTTCTCCATTACTTATCAGTGTCTGTTCCTTTTTTCTATCGATATCCAAAATATTTGTTGACTTACGTCGGAAATAAACGCGAATTATGTTTAAGTTTGCAATTGTTACATTTCTATTCGATACCGAAAGCAAGATAGACTCGACTGAATCATCAACTATAAGAAGATTCTTATATCGATTCTTTTCTTTAACCGAAAATGCATTTTTTTTTTTTTTTTTATACGAATGTACATGTATGTCGCAATATACATATGCGTGTAATTTATGTAAATATATGACATATATAGTTTCATACATTTCATGATATGTAGTTTCAGTATTTGCATTCGTAAAGTATTTTGTACAGCTTCTTAACGTAACGATGAAAATAAATTATATCTCAGAAAATGGAAAAAGAACCGAGAACAATTCAATGAATCGTCGAACGTACAAGAATTCGGCGACGAATTCTCAAAGAATCGATATCAGACACGTTGCACCCCTTTATCGGCTAACAAGCAGCTTTCGCATTCGTTATTTTATATTCGTTATATTCCCTTTTTTACATTTGACACTCTTATCCTATCTAACGTTCGTGCTTCGCACTCCGTTGTTACGAATCGGTCGATCCGATTCCATCGACACGCGATGCATTTTCTTACTTCTATTCCGAATCGCTACGAAACACGATGTAACGTATATCATCAAAGGCATTCCATTGTATTTTCTCCTCCGCATGCCTTTTTTTTTTTTTTTTAACATACTCGCC